CTATAGGCCTGTACAGTACGGTAGCCTAGTTCGTAGGTTTGACTGTAATGTAAGAGAGTAGCTTGTTTATAAAAATAGTATCAATGTTTTTCGTAATGTTAAACTGATGTTTTGTTAAGAACGTTTCTAACATTTACAGATAGTGTAAAACGAGGTGGGCCCATGTAAGGTGTTTACCTCATTCAATGTCATTAGATACCTATATGAAAGAACATGTATTTTCGGTTTTTCTTTGCTGTTGATAGGCCTCATTGACCAAAACCTTTAAATCGAGCTCTACTCTCTCGCCATATTAATTACATATCGTCACAAGGGGCTATGGGATTATGCCAGTGACCGTAAAATAATCATGGCCTATTCCGTATTCCGTTTGTAACGTTGACTCCTTTCAGTTTTGCAAGTGTATTATTATTACCAGTGGAATGCATTTTCTGTTTACAGACCTGTCAGGGGCTTTGTTGAGTTTCTTTGCCTCAAGGACCACCACTGATCGTACGAACAGTGTCGGTGCGCCGGGGTTTTGTGTTTATGTTTATTGTTGGGATGAAAAAAAGAAATGTCACCCAACAATCTTGACTAATCTGATGATCATGCAAGCACTTATTTGTTTTTTTTAGTACAAAAAAATACAGTTATAGATTACTAAACAATAACTGTATTGCCCGATGTTAATAATATATGTATGTGTATGTATATAGTCACCTGAATGTTGTTTCTTTTATATTTTATATGTATACGGATTGTGTTTATTAGTCCTATGTAAATATTGCGTATGACGCAGTACCTTGAAAAAAAAATCTGATAATAATCATCGATAACATAATCAATAGTAAAACAACATTTAGAACGGTTCGCACATTACATAAATGTATATTTAGTATTTAGTACGTTCGATTCGTGTGTGTATGTATATAGTCACCTGAATGTTGTTTCTTTTATATTTTATATGTATACTGATTGTGTTTATTATTCCTACTATGTAAATATTGCGTATAACGCAGTACCTTTAAAAAAAATGTTCTGATGATAATAATCATCGATAACATAATCAATAGAACATTTAGAACGGTTCGCACATTATATAGGCTAAGTGTATATTTAGTATTTAGTACGTTCGATTAATAGTAATTATTCCTGTTTATGTAAGTTTACGGTTATAGTAAGGGTAATGGTAATAAGCCGAAATGGTTGCATTTCAACGATAAATAGTGGGCAACTATGATACAATACTCGTCAACCCACAACGATAGGCCACGCATTGTTAATGTCCAAGCTGTAATTGGTGTTGAATATTAAAATCTGTTGTATTCTTATTCGTAATATGTGGTAGGCTCCATAGTACCTTATAGCCCCACAAGTGGCCTTTTCTACAACACCTTATCATTTTATAGTGTCCATGGTTCAAAGTGCGGCGATGTTTGACAAGTAAATTGGCTTATCTCATACTGTATATATAGATACCCATATCTTACCTGTTATAGAGGGCTACAGCCAATCTTTCATCTAAGTTTACACTTCTTATAGGCACGTGTTTACTTCACAAACGTTTCTGTTACGTGCCACGAGTAACGTATGCCAGGCAGATCGATAGTAGGCCTATGTATATATTATATATTATGTATATTGTATATCTATTATATTATATACTGTATTTTATTAATAATATTGAATGTAAACCATCGCTTTAATTTTTGTACAGGTATAGGTTTCTACTTGTGTTAGATTGCCTGATTGACTCCCATGAATATCTATATATCTCTTTAATTATATTATATTTCGCCTAAAATTAATATAGTACAACATTAAATGGAATACGTATTGAATTTATTGTCAACGAATTTTGTTCCCCCAGTAAAGCAACAGCTGTTGGTAAAAATATGTGTCCATTATTTAACGACTGAATCACCGGTTCCCTGTACTTAACGCTTGGACAGCCAATGTTCACGCTAAAATTAGCACCAACCACAGCTTAGAAAAAATATGACGTCGTTTATTTACATGGCTACTCAACAATAAGAACTTTCGAAACAATATGCACATAACATAGGCCTATATTTATGAGTTTCTTAAGGAGGTGGGGGGGGGGGTTGCCTTCAATGTGATTTGACTTAAAACAATTGATCTATGGAATCACGTTCATTGGATTAACTCTGCCTATCATTAACTAGATTTGCTAACACAGTACCTAATTATTCTCCAAAATCTACAAAACTATCAGCTGCTAATGAATTGGGCAATTTGTTTGTGCTGAACCTGTGTTCACAAATGGTAGTTTACCAATGCTAATCCATTACATTTACACTTAGGCCTACTTTACTTTACTCCCTCTCCGGCATGTAGTCTGTCGACTTTCCCGCTTGGGCTGCTCTGTAGGCCATTGGACAATAATTGTTCTTACTAGTTCCTATGCTGGTCGTTCATTGGCAAGTTGTTTATAATTATTTTATGTCCTTTATTGTCTTCAACTGATTGGTGTGTATTCTGTTGTTGTTTACTTAGGGCCAGTGGCGGTGCTAGGGGAGAGGGGGAATTACCCCAGATAATATTCTTGCCCCTCCCCACCCCCACAGTTTGCCCTCCAATAAAGAAGAAAAACATCAGTTTGTTAATGGGGAGAAAAAAAAAATGATCACTCCCCCAGACTTTAGACGCCGGCGCCGCCACTGCTTACGGCATTGATTACGAGAGCTAGCTAGTGACATAAACAATGTTTTTTCACACTATAATGTCTGATATATTTACAAGAATTTCCGGAATGTTATATAAATATAATTCTTTTATCGTTTTCTCTTTCAGGAGTACGGAATATAAATAGTCGCAGTTCACAACCAGTGGAAAGAGTTAGTAGTTTACGTATCAGACATTCAATACCTGCGAATCCTGCACAAACTGAGCGAAACCATGTAATAGAGACACCTGAGGATTTGTTAAGCCATCGAAAACTTCGTGTCTCAGGAGACGTAGTCAAACGCTTAATGACACCTGTGTTAACACGTTCAAAACAAAATACATGGTCCCCCGAACTTACATTGAATAAAAGTTCACCAATTTCCAAAAATCAAGAGTTTATAACTACGATTGAGGGAACGGGGGAACACTCTGACGGCGAGAAAGAGCAACAATCGGGTGACACTCCTTTGGATATTGACCTGAAAAGGAAACTTAGTTTCGAGGATTCATACCACGTAGATTCGTTAGAATTCGAACCAAAGCAGGGATTAAAACAGGATGAAAAAGATCCATGGGTTAAAACCACATTCTGTGAACATAATCAGGAAGAGGATGATCGATGTGAAACTGTTTGCGAAACCTCTCAAAATTTGCCAATCAACTCGATAATTAATGCACATCAGGGTAGTTACAAAACTGATTTGAAATCACCAGTTGATAGCTATAAATCAGAAATAGACACGAGGTCTACTTATGAAAAACCAGATTTGAACGAATACAATCATGCTGCTAACTTGAGAGATTTAGAGCCACAATCAAGGAAAAATTTCCAAATGAATTGTGACAATAACAATATGCTAAACTCTGGGATACCAGTATTTAAACGAAGTGTATCGCTTCCCGAAGGTTTGCCATTTTGTGGTAGTTTACATTTAGGAAATAGACATCGGTCGGAAGAATCGCTATTTGCTTTGAAAATAAAAATCGATGATCAGGCATGGCGGAAAGTATACACCGAACCTAATGATAAAGTACATTTGGGAGGGGTCGTATCCTCAACTTCAGAATCTCAGAATCCAAAAATGTATTGTAAATCAAATATTTTGGTGCAAACTGTCAACTTAAAGAAAAGTCTTAATTTGTCTAGCGAAACTCAAGGGGGTTTATCACAATCTTTTCCATCAGCATATGTTGCTGAATTCTCTAGCACTCCAAATGAGTCCCCAATAAACTTAACGGGAGATGTTGATATACCTTTTTGTCTATGGCCAACCTCCTTAAAAGCTGGCAAAAGAAATAATGAAACTCGAAGTATGCCAGATTTACTGCAACCATCAATTGAGCGAGAGCATCAGTTAGTACATATGTCGGCGAATTTATCGGTTTCGATGCAATATAGGCCTACTGATGAATTGCCTGACAGCTTAAACACATGGTCGAACACTGAAACACTCGATAGCCAAAGAAACGAATGTTCTTTCTTACCAAACTGTCCATCGCCTATATGCTCATCGTCACTACAGTCGTTACTGCATCCTTCGGAACCAGAAAAAGCTAAGAATGAACCACCGGCCTCAAACATCACGTTGTCACCATCCACATCCGAACAAGAAGAAGTCATTGAAACCATTTTTGCTTCAAAAAACCCTTTATTTCAATGTGCACCGCCAGAATATAATATTAAATCTATTAATTCTTCTTCTACAGATCTTCGAGATCCAGAACTAATAGAGTCCGTTTATGCAGATATATCACCTTGTATCTCAAATATTAATTTAGAAGAGGAATGGCCTATTATAAATGACTCTCCAAATGCCCAGTCTTCTTCATTACCGAACAATCAGCGGTATTCCAGTGAGTCCTCTAGTACTGATCAATCTTCTAACTCTGATCCATGGGAGAAAGTTGAATCTAGCGGAGAGTCAAATAATCAGATATCTCCAGACTCATCGCCAGAACGCCTTGCTGAGAAAGCAGACATTCACAGATATGAATGTGAAGAAGAGCCGTTTAGGAGGCAAGAAAAGTCTCCTGTCCGACCTAAGTCATTGGATGCAAACTATATCTTTAAACCGCAAAGCGATCTAAAGACGGATATTTCTAGAACTAATAGACCTGAACCCTTGGAACTCTATAATCAACACAACAAGGGCCTACCAAAGTTAGAGATACAGGTCCACGATAGATCCCCAGGTATTGCTCGGCCAAAATCATTAGATATTGATCGGGTCTTTTCACCAAGCCATGTCTCAAATTCTGTAACACCAGAGAAGCACACTATTATTATTACTCCTGTAACACCTGGTGTGTCTGAAGATGACTTGAATATAACTTTCAGAAGAGATTCAAATTTCAATCTTGACACACTTTCTCCAAGGATGAGTCTGCCGACTATACGACGGAAAAGAGCAAACCAGTTAAGAAAAATTGATGACGCTCATAGGTTCTCGTTGCCACGGAACCTTTTACGACTCGGCACACCGCCAGCAGACGAATTCGAAGAGGAACTTCCACCATCAAAGGTTAGAAGTTATAATTTATTTCATTCCCTCAATGAAGAGGTTACTTCATCGTCCGGTGTTTACCAATTGGGGTGGGCCTATATATGATAAATGTACGCAATAAACGTTTCCTTCTAGTCCAGGGGATTTTACAGTGGTAGATCCAGGAATTCAAAATAGTAGGCTACTGGGAGCGGTGGTCTTTTCACAGACGGAAGGTCGAGAATACCATGCTTGGGACCAAGTACAAACTTTGTGGCTATGGCCCTCCAGCTGGTCAGAAATGAGTAATTTTGATTCTGTATTTTAGATTTATGGAAAAAATATCCACTTAGTTATTACAGAGCATCGATTTGTGCTTTGTTAGTTCCAAATGATTAACTTCGCTGGATGAATCGAGTATCCTTGATAAACACTGTGTACTTTTTCTAAACAGAGTGCCAGCCTGGAGAAATTGGCCCCTGAAATAGGTGATGACAGTTGTTACAGAATCGTCTATGAGCTGGTCATGACAGAACAATCATACGTCAGTAGGTTGTATCTACTTAACAAGGTGAGTAGAATGCTACGGTATATATTAAATTTGCAGCTAGTTCGCGTGTGAAATTCTTAATTCAGTAAAAAATGTGTGGTGATGAAACGGTTAGGGTGTATAAAGTAATCGAGAACAATTTGGGATGAATAAATTTGTATAACAAGAGATAACAATTTGGGGCTCTAGGATATAATTTATGGGGGTGCTAAGATGTCCGACTGGGGGGGTGGTCTAGGTTATAATTCATGGGTGCTAAGATGTCCGACTGGGGGGGGGGGGCGCTAAGTATTTATGGGTGTAACTATAGTGCGCAGCGTTATCTGAGGGGGTTATCCGAGCCGGGGTTGGCTATGGGACGGGGATGTCCCCTCCTCCCAAACAGGATTTTTTTTTAATTGGGACTTCTAGATGGCCGGAAATGGCTGGGATGGGAAAACTAGGCCTCTAGGCCTATTTTTTGTTTTCTTTTGGTCCGACTGCCCGACGAGCTTTGGCCGATGGGGGGGGGGGGCTTCAGCCCCCTTTCCCCCGCTGGCGCCGCCACTGATACAGGGTTGGCACCAGTGGGGAGAGCTTGACATTTGATAGTTAACACAGTCACTTTATAATGTTGCTATTTATTGAACATTTGCCTATGTATCACTTGATAAATGACTTAAAAGCATGGTGCAGGACAGACATTTGCAGAAGGGGGAGTCTAAAGGGGCATGGACTTGCGTATACTGTTTCAAACGAAGTGCGGAACATGGAGCTGATTTTTCTTTTATATTTTCCGAACCCTATTCAGTCTTGTCACCTTTTGTATACAGTAACGTAAAATTTTAAAATATTGTGCATTTTTAAAAATTCATTCTCAAATGAACACAACTTTAGTGGACGATATAGTTTACCTTTTTTTCTGGTATTTTTCTGAATACAGAAATTGGAAACTGATGGGGCCCGGGAAAGACTTTCACAGAGTGGTGATAATATCACCTCAGCCCCACCATGGTGGGGGCTGAGGTAAGAACATTTATGATTATGGCACCTCTAGATGGCCGGAAATGGCACTGCCCCTACTAAAAAAAGGGACTTTAAAATTTCGGGGGGTCC